GAGACAGGGTGAGGCGGGAGCCGGGCACCCCCCGAGCGCTGCTCCTGGGAAAGGCAGAAAGTCGAGAGTTGTGCTTTTGTTTTTCTGTGTTTTTTTTTTTTCTATATAAAAAACGGGTTTTTTGAGTTTTTACGTCATCAGCGTTCACTAGGGATTCGCGGTGCAGCAGTTCCAGCGCTGCCAGCCGTAAGTCACCGCAGAAATCCAGGCCCAGCGGTGTTCCCGCTAACCCCTTCCTCAGCGGCTGGGAAAGCAGATCTGGGTGTTACAGGCGTATATTCGGGTGTTTGTGGACCGCTGCTGGTTGATGGCGCTGAGGAACGGCTCTGCCTTGTGTAGCCCTGCTGTGGCTGGTTCAGCATGACAAGAAGCAGCTTTGGCAAACTTCAGCTGCCTGGGATAAATTCAACTCCCCGAACTACCCATGAAGTGAGGTACAGCCTTTGTATAACCCAGACCGTAAATGTTATGTCCTCCCATTATGAATCTCCACTGAAAAAACATAAATGCATAAAATGCCAACACGAGTTACTGTTTTATCTCCAAGGCTTCATCTAAGCTGAAGAAAGGGGGTAGTAACAGCAAATGACCCTCCTCCACCCTGCCAGCCATCAGTACCTGCTCCCTGGGAATTCACTGGAGCTCCACCAGGCCCTGAAACGTGAAACCTTTGACCAAAAATCTTTCAGACTTGGGTTCGACCACCTGACTAGCCAAGCCCCTCTCTCCTAAGCATGTGGGGAGGACAGGGAAATGCATGAGATGTGAAGTGAGATGCTGCTTCACTGAAAGTTAATCAGGTTGTTTTGAAAAGTTGCCTGACTTTCAGAGTCGGGTATGTATGAATGATGAGGTAGGGCCTCGCTCAATAGAATATGACAATTTATGGGAGGAAGAATCAGGGTTCACGAGGTTTTGGCTTTAGAGAAGGACTTAATTCTGTTAATTTATCATGCAGTGCACAAGGTTGGGAGAGGCTGTGAGTACAGAGAAGGGTCAGATACAGAGTGATTGCAGGGAATTTCATTCAGAAGAAACAGAACAATGCAGAGTACAAACTCATGTTCTGAAGGAATTTTTAAGCTGGAAGTTCCTTGGCTGAAGACTTGTGTTGGATGCAGTATTTTCATGAAACAGCACGCATGCCACTGCTGTTCCCATCTCTATTCCCTGGTCTTACTGCCAGGCCCATGAGCAATGAGGTCAGGCTGGAGTGGGTGCAGAGTGGTTCGGAGAGCAAGGAGCCACCCTGACGGGAGGAAACGAACAACGGAGGTGGAAGTTTGCCAAATGTTGCAGCATTTAAGTATGGTCAGAGAATATGAAACTCCCTCCCTTGGTGACTCCATTCATGTTTAAATCCAGAGATTACACCGTTGAACACTAAGCAGCTCCCCTGTGTAATTCAGCCACAATAGTTCAACACTGTCCTGGGTCCCTGCACGGTTCCTCTTGCTGCAGTCACCTGCCAAGAACAGCTAGTGGGTGCTGCAGCCCTGGCTCCTGGCTATGGCCTCTGCCTCAGCCCACTTCTGGTGGCTTCCATTCTGCTGTCGGTGGCTTCCGTCCCGCTTTGCACGGCGGCTGCCTCTGCCACACCTACTCCCTCCGTGCCCGGTGGTGGTTTTGCCTCTGATGGGCGCTGTTTGGGTTTTCTCTCTGTCACTCGCTCCTGAGTTGCTGACAAGCATCCTGCCCGAGGAGGCTTCTGTGCAGAGTGCGAGGTGTTGTGGAGCTTTGAGCTGATCTGCAGAGAAGCCTGACAGCCCTGGGGGATTTCCCTGGAGACAGCTAACACTAACACTGCCAGTTGCTTTAAAAAAGCTGAAGCTGAACAGAGAGAAAATTAAGTGAATCCCAAGTCCTAAAATGAGCTTGTTCTTTTCCATTTATCCTAATCGACCCATATCTTTCAGAACAACAGGAGCATTCCATTCTTGCATGCTTTTTACTTCTGAAGTCTTTATTTCAAAGCAGTTTACTAGAAAGACAAGTTCTTTCCTCAGGAAGAGTGAGTAGATGTGACACACGGGGCAAACGCCTCGCTCAGCTGTGAGCAGATGCTCGCTCTCTTCAGGTGTAAAGGGGGTCGATGGCTCAACAACAGTGAGAGTCATAGATCAGATGCACAGAGCACATCCACCTGCCTGTGCATCCATGCTGCCGGGGGGATGCAGTTAACACCGGTTTTAAAATGTCAGCTTCATTATCTCTTCATTTTATCTAACATGCTGAGCCAGAGCTCCAATGTGATCTCACTCCAGCAGCAAAAGGCTGGGGAGGTTGTTGGCCTGAACAGATTTAGAGGAAGGTGTTTCTACACAGTTGCTGCTCTAAGATTGACTTTGATTCTGGTTTTCCTGTTTTGTTTGGTAGTGACCCTGCAAGTCTCCTGGGACGGAGTGCTGATGACTACTGCTCTCAGCCTGCAAAGCCCAGTTTCTAATTGAAAGCTGGCTTCCATCTCAGCCAGTTTCTCTGTAGGTGAATGTTTATCTCCAATACTTCACATTCCAACTGGCAGAAAATACCTGATAAATACACGTATCTATTCCAGATATTTCCCTCTGTGTCCTGGCCCAGCCTGGAGCCTTGACTAACCCCACTGCAGACTTCCAAAGCACCTTCTGCTGGAGGGTGAGCTCTTTCCTCTGTGTGCAGAAATGGTGCTGTGCCCTGCAATGCACACTTTTCAAGTAGAAAAGGAAATGCAGTGTGCTGAAGGGCTGTGCCCTGCTGACTCAGAAACATCTTCTGGGTACGCATCGGTCTGTGTGCTCAGCCTCTTAGCTCAAGCAGTAAAGTTTACTGTGGGCTCATTTCCTTTCTGAGAGTAACTTCAACTTTCATAAGGCCATCAAGCCAAACAGGCATCTATCCTATAGAAGATAGGACAACACTATCTTCTATACATCCGTACAATGTGCCTCAAGTGGTGGCATCTGTGTAGGGTTCAAGGAACAGATATTGCCTCAAACAAGCTATGGAACCCTTTTTTGGTGTTGTTATCGTGTGTCTTAGAGCCCATGACATGTTTTTTTCAGCTTGCACCTGGCTATCTTGCTGCATTGCAAAGAGCCTTCCTGGTTTCTGTCACTAAGTTGTGCTTCTCCTGATCCTGCAGTGCCAGTTCCCCACTTCCGTAGCCCCAATGAAGATACACCATTTCCTGGGTGTGCTCTGCTGGGTGTGCTTAGCTCCTCACGCTCCCAAAAGCTTTGAAATTGCTTTTTATTCCCATATGAAATCACACTGGTGGCACTTCTGTATTTTTGCTGCACCCTGCAAAGTAACCTTGCTCAACCTCACATCCCTGAAGCCAAGGCACAAGCAGAGCTGGCTGTTGTTCTTTTTCCATATTTGAAGTACTTACCAAAACATCCATTTCTTTCATTTTTTTTTTCTTAGTAAAATAATTCTTAGTAATCAAGAATTTTCCTTTTCTGGTTGAAGTCCTTCCACATGCCTAGTCGAAGTGCTTTCCAAGTATACAAAGCTCAAACTGACCTCTAGGATGATGTTTGATATCTCTGACTCTTCTCTTAAGACAAAGTCTCACCGCAGCACAGAGAATCAGAACCTCTTACTTGTCCACAACCTCACTAATTCCACTGCTGCTTCTAAAATCAGCTGTAGTGGCAGAAAACCTTTTGTATACCAGAACCAGGAGCCTGGTGCTCGGGGGAAATCCTGCCATATTGACACAGGGGTATGGGAGCTGCTGCAGCTGCAGGTTTGCACACTACAGGTTCCAAGTCTCTGGATAACAGCAGATTCCACCACCTCACCTTCCCTCTTGCCTTCTCAGCCCCAAAATCTTTGATGCAGCGCTACTGCTCACACTGCAGTACTGCTACAGGCAGCAATTTGCAGTGTTAGTCAGAGCCCTGAAGAGCCCAGCACACCACCACCCCCCTCCCCGCCCCGTTAATGATGGGATTCAGGCAGCCACCTCAAGGAAGAGCCCTGTCACCTGAATCCTATCCCTCCAAGGCAGCCTGTCAAAGTGAGTCAGTAGTATGGGGACTTGGGAGACCCATTGCTATTTATAAATGATGTCATGTGCTTCCCAGCACAAAGGAAAGCCCGTGATAGCCAAGAAACCATTCCTACTGGTTTAATAGCTCTCAAGGGAGGACAGAAATGACACCCAGCACAGAGAATTTCTCAGCTGAAGGTATCTGGAGGCTCAGGTTCTCATGGAAATGATAGTATCTCATTGCCCTGGGTCTGTTTAGCCCAGCATCATCTCTGTGATAGCTGCCCTGCGTCTCTCACAGAGATGATGCTGGGCTAAATAGACCCTTGATCTGATTTACTTCAACTGTTCTTATGTTTGAAGGGGCCAGGCAATGGATTGAGAAGGAAAGTGCCCTCTATTAGTAATATGTATACACACTCTGCCTTCAGGCTGTGCAAAAGACCCAGCAGGAGTGGTATTGGACTGTCTTCTCATGCCCCATCTTCCCTTCACTTTCCTTGGTTACCCCTCATTGATCCCATACACCCCTAGATGCATTGTGGTCTTCCAACACTTTCTATCCTTCTCCACACCTAGATGCTTCTGCTTTAGCAGTTGTGATGATTGGAAAACAGCTTTCACAGTGTCTGTTTTCCCCTGTGACTGGCCAGGAGCAATGATCTCCACCTCTAGATCCATCTTCCTCACACCCACCTCCTCTGGCAAGCCCTGCTGGCTACTCTCTTTGCTCCTCTCCCAGGGCTGCTCAGAGAGGACACCCTGAAGCAGGGTCTGTACCAGCCTCCAGGTTTCTGCTTCCCTCCTGGGCTGCCTGATGATGTCCTCCAGGGCAGCAGGGACTTCACTTCCTTTAAGGCCTCTCACAGCTCAGCCTGCCTATCCTGGCAAGAGGCTTGGCACAGGAAGAAGGTGGGTTTGGAAATGTGAGCTGAGAAGATCCCATAGGCAAACCAAAGACCTGAAGTCTGAAGGTGAAGAAAAAGGCATCTTGTCCTCAGTGCAGACCTGGGCGTCTGTGGTGGGAAGCAGCTGTGCCCAGCTTGAAACAGCGTGGTCTGCTGAGGACTGGTGCCATTGAAATAGCACTGGGTTGCCATTCTTGGCCTGACAGAAGACAAAAGGTTTTGCTTTTTGGTCATGCACAGGAGGACCATGTGGGAAGTGCCCCTAAACCCCTGCAAAATCCAAGAGCAGATCATAATGCACATAAAGACAAACCTGCATCTCCAGTTACTGAATCACAGAATCATCTCGGTTGGAAAAGCCCCTGAAGCTCCTCCAGTCCCATGAACCTCACCCTGACTGTTCCCAACTCCCCCAGATCCCTCAGCGCTAGGTCAGCCCAACTCTTCAACCCCTCCAGGGATGGGGACTCCCCCCCTGCCCTGGGCAGCCCATTCCAACGCCCAACAGCCCCTTCTGCACAGAAATCCTTCCTCAGAGCCAGCCTGACCCTGCCCTGGGCAGCTTGAGGCTGTTACCTCAGTACTGCTTCAGCTTTTGCCTCTTTAACCTAGGAGTACTTCTCTGCCCATTATGGCATTTTTACTTTAGCTTTTTTTTGGTGTGCCCTAAGTTGTGTTAGAAAGAAGGGAAGGAAGATCCATCCAACATGTGGATTTTGGCAGTGAGTGGGCTTCTGGCAGTCCCAACAGTCCTGTTCCCGGGGAGGATAGGGAAGACAATCCAGGATTTGGGACAAGGACAAGGCAAGCTGGCAGGGAGAGGTAGCAGGGCTCATGCAGAAGCATATTTAGGGTTGTTAGTGATTTGCACTATGGTTCTCTATTCCTGTGGACCCCAAGCAGGCTTGTTCTGGTGTCCTCCCTGAGTGACATCCCTGCACTGCTGATTTTCTGTTGCCAGAGGCTCAGGGCTTTGAAAGGTGCTGACCATTGCATGGCAGGAATTGCACTTTGCTACAACTCTGCCATAGCTAAAGCTTGACTGTGCTTGTGGAAAAAGGCAGGTTTTGTGCCATTAGGTGCTATCACTTCTGAGGAGAGATGCTCTACAGCCCCCCAAGCTCACTGCATTTCCCTTCTTATTCCCAGACTTTGTGGTGCAGCTCCGTGCTGGCTGGAAGCAGCCAGCGCCCATCACACACGGCGCAGCTCGGGCTGGAGCTTTTTCTGAGCTTTGGCATTTTTTTGTGGATGTGGTGAGGAGCTCCCCTGGCACATCCCCAGGAGGGCAGGGGAGTTTCTTCCCCAGCTCTTCTTTCTCCCTGACAGTCTTCAGTGTGACAGGGCTGGCCTGTACTGTTGATGCTCTGCAGTTTTGCAGCTGGTGCCATTAATCTGCAGGTCTCCAAGCTCTTGACAGCTATTGAGTTAATTAGAGTTTGCACGCTCCCTTTGGACTGAATGAACTAAAATCCATTTCAGTTTGATGGAGATCTCTTCAGTGGTTCTCACTTATAGCCTGGTTCTGAGGAACACAAAGGCCTTTCCCCATCACTTTAGCAGTGTGAAAGGACCCTCGAGTGTATGCAACTCACCACTAACTTCCCTGGGTGTAACACAGTGAATGATTAATCAGATATGTTACTGTTTTAAACTGCTGTGGGTACTCCCTCATGGAGTTTTCCCATCTCTTTTCTCATGTTGTGTGCCAAGGCCTCAGCTGTAACCCAAGATATCAGAAGGTGTCAATTTTTTGTTCCTACAAATACGTATAAGACAAAACTTTAGCATTCCTTAAATGTAAATATGCAGCTTTCATGTTTGACAAGTGTTCATGTCTCCATGGGAAATATATCTGTTGAGAAAAAGGAGCAGGACTTAGATGATTTTGATATTTTCGTGGCTTATCAAATCACTCCTGGTCCTCAGTGATCCTTTTATGTATAAATTACATATTGTTTAAATCCTGAAGCGGTCCCAAAATGTGATTGAAGCTTATTAGGAAATATAATTTATTTCAATGTAAGTTAGAACATCTTGTAAGAGCCGTCCCAAGGCAAAGCTCAGGTTTCTGTCCCGTCTCCAGCCCCAGTCCACGCTGAAATCCACTTTTTGTCCATGTCACTCTCCCAGCCCCTTTCCCTCTGCTCCTTGGCCTTTTCCACTTGCTGTCTCCAGCGCACTCACATCACTGTACACTCACACCACACACTTGCACTGGGTGCTGTTTGCCCTGGGCAGTTTGGCATGAGTGGATGTACAAACTGTAACCAGCTCTGCTCCGAAGCAGCAGAACCAATGGTGTTATTCATTTCTGTAGCAGACATGAGAGTATCTGTATCTCGCACTTAATATCTACTAGATTATAGATGTAATTATCAGATTGATGTAATGCATTTACTGGATTGCTTTATTAGAAGAAGGATCACATCATTCCTGCTGTGGAGTAATAAAAGCATTTAACTTCATAGGGCACTGTTTTGCTGATTGAGGATGCTAATTAAACTCAGACACCAGAGTGAAAAGAGTAGGTGTATTTTACAGTTAATAATTGATGGATATGACCAAGTAATATAGAAAATAAGCAATAAGGTAAATACAGAACAGTACACTTAATTATTACTAAATACAGTTAATTATAGAAAATAAGAATAATCAAGGTAGTGTACCTGTTCATTACTACCTGAGGAAGAGAACAGTGATTAAGAAGGATCCATCCCCACTCGCACACTTTACCACCCCCCAGCCCCGCAGCGCTGGGCAGCCCTGGTTGCAGTGAGGGTTTGCAGAGCCTGGCCCGGGCAGTGGGAATCCTACACGGTGCCTCTGCCTGTAGGTGAGGCTTCCAAAGTCGCTGTGAGCGGGTCCAGCCTTATAGACCCAAAAACCAGCAAGCCAGAACAGCTGGCACCTTTGTTTTGAGTGGAAAATTTCTGGTTTAATCCTCCTGTTGGATTCCACCCAAAGCCTGGCCAGGGCTTGGGGGGGAGAACCAAGGGACTTTCTAACAAGGCCAAACACTTGGGTTCTCAGCCTTGGGCAAGGCTAAACAAGGACAGTTGGGTATATTCCCTAGCATTTCATCCTCACTACTGATTATATTTTGCCTAAGCTGCATCTGTCACTAGTGAGCATACATATTTCATTAATGGTCAGATACTAATGATAAACGCTAATGGTAATACAGATTTTACTAATTAGCAGATACTAATAATGGATAATGTTTGGTTGTGAGGTTCATCTAGAGGTCAACTTCTGTTTCGGGGCCTATTATTCAGGCCCTAGCACTACAGGCATTTATTTGAGGGGGTTTTAATCATGGAAACAGAGAGGTTTGTGGTTTGAGTATCCCTGTAACACAACAGTTAACACACAGAGCAGAGTGTTTGTTGGCATACAGAAATCAGCTGTATTTTCCACAGCAATTTAATGATTGTTTAACAGGCAGGAGGTAATGGTAATACTGTAACATAAGGACAAAGTTAATTAACAGAGCAAGAGTGCCTACCAATGGGTGCAGCCACAAATACATCCCTCTCTCCCCACGTGATGCAATGTATGGATCCAAAGGTACGCTTAGAGGAGAAGATATTTTCCTGATAACAGAAATCAGCTGCACGCTGGATGCTTCTTCCAAGGTGCTGGAGAGAGCTGGGGCACACGGATGACTGCCAAGCTTCACCTGGCCATGGGTGCTGAGGAGCACAAAGCTCATCTCATGCTATTTTCTTTTGCAAGTGCCATGTTGTCCAGCAAGAAATGACCTCACAGGGTTGCTTAACAGGAGAGGTGCAGTCACAGAGTGGGTATTTAACTGGCTTCTCTGACAGTCTGTATAGGGCTGCTAGACACAGTCTCTCTCTCTCCTTCCACTGCATTGCTACGCTTGGTATCTTTAACCTGGCTTCTACTTTTGATTTAAATTTGGGCTTGTCCTTCCTACATGAAAAGGCACATCGGTGTCCTGCTGTGCTTGGCTTAGTCTCAGCCCAGTCACTTCCAAGTTTGTCCACTCAGTGAGAGCCTCCTTATCTGCTCCTGTGGTGCATCGTCTGCTTGGCTTTACCCCAACAAATGCCTCTCCTTGACCTTCATTTCCCAGGCAGTTCCTGTATCCTGCCATGGTGCTGCCCAAAACCGCCGCTGCCCATCCTGCCTGGTGTGTGGGCAGGGGCAGCACGCACCAGGCTGCCCAGCGTCCTGCTGTCATCCTACCTCACCAAGCAAACAGGGATGGTGGGGAGCACCTGCCTGTCCTAAATAATTCTCTGGGAGCACTGCCAATGCCTCCCTAGTTTTTCTACTCCAAGTAAATCTCTTCCCCTAATTTCTGCACACATATATAGACAATAAAATTAATGCTGAGTTATCGAAAGCCTTATTATGGTCACACTTGTTTTTATTTACTGCTGCTACCAGAACAGAGATTTAATGCCATAAATCTAGTGGTGAGTTTAACGGCTGTTGAAGATTCCTATTACTTCTGTAAAGCACTACAGGAGTTATTTTCAAAGCACAGGGAGCTCACAGCCGGTGAAAAAGGAGTGCATGGTGCTTCCCATAAAGCTTGGCTTCATAACATCGTTTTGTCAGACCTTAAACTGTTTGGGCTGAAATTCCCCATAGCTTATGCCTGCTTCTCCGGGCTGCAGGGGAGTGTGGGGAGGAGAGGGAAAACTGGAGTGTAATTAAAAGAGAAGGGATGTGGGGGGACAGGTACAGACCTGGGGATCAGTACAGTTTAGGGAGGAGGTGTTTGGCCAAAAGGCAGAGGTGAGTGAGCAGGGTCCCACTGTGGGCTCAGACACTGTAGGGTCATGTGAGGTGTCCAGCCCTGGGGAGTGACTGCCTGCAGGCTGGGGCCAGCAGCAAGAGGCCAGTGCTTGGGCAAGGAGTAGCCCCAGGGGAGCTAGAGGCAGGGCAGGGGGCCGAGGGAGGCAGGACCCGTGGAGAGGGAGGGGAGGGTGAGCAGCCTGTCCCCCTGCGTCCAGTGTGGGGCCATGTGCGTGTTCCTCCATGGCAAACTGTTGGGCTCTGGGGCAACAGTGACCCTCTGGCATCAGTGCAGGACCATCTGGTGAAGGTCTGCTTTCACCCATTCAATTTTCAGGCTGGGAAAGAGTGTAAAAGAAACTGCACCAAAGGTGCCATGAGATGGTGAAGGGTGTTCAGACCCAGCTGGCTCTCCAGGGCCCCCCAGTACACGATGTCCTAAGTTCTGCATTAGAGCAAAAAAGTGTTACTCTGTGGTGGGAATTGCGGTCTGCTTAGTGCATGGGTTAAACAACACCAGCCATAGAATTGACCCATGAGCTGGTACTGCAGCTATTTTTGAAGTACCCTGTGCTGGGTCTGAGAGTGGCGGGGTTTGGTAGTGGGGGAGAGGGCTATGGTGGTGGCCCCTGTGAGAAGCCTCTTGAAGCTCCCCCAGCTCCAAGTCAGACCCGCCTCTGGCCAAGGCTGAGACAACCAGCAACAGTGGCTGTGCCTCTGTGAGAACGTAGTTAAGAAGGGGAAGCTGAGAGGGAGTTGGGACTGGTGAGGAGGAGTTACACAAAGGGCACCTCTGTGAGCAGCGAGGTCGGTGGAAGGAAGGGGGAGAGGTGCCGGTGCAGAGCCCCCCCTGCCACCCATGGGGGTCACCAGAGGAGCAGAGATCCACCTGCAGCCTGGGGAGGACCCCCGGGTCTCTCTGGGAAGGAGAAGCCCCTGCTGTTGTGGTTTGGCCCTGGGAGGACTGCAACACGCAGGGATGACCCACGCTGGAGCAGTGTGGGAATGGCTGTGGGCTGTGGGGAGGACTCATGATGGAGAAAGTTGATGGAGAACTGTCTGCCATGAGAGGGGAACCAGGTGGAGAAGGGGGGAGAATGCAGCATAGTGCTTCCCCCATCCCCTGCACCTGCACCTCTGGGAGAGGAGGTGGAGATATCGGGACAAAGCTGAGCTGGAAGAAGGGAGGGGTGGGGGGAGGTGTTTTTTGAGATGTGGTAATAATTCTCACTGCCCCACTCTGTCTGTTAAGTGGCAGTGGTGTTAGTGTTTTGAATTAAAGTGGTATTCTTCTTTCTTCCACTAATGAGCCTGCCTTTCGCCCATGACCATAACGGGTGAGTCACCCCTCCCTGTCCTTATCTCAATTTCTGAGCCTTTTTCTTCATTTTTTTCCTTCCCAGCCCTGGGGGGAAGGGATGGGTGAATGGCTGCGCGGGGCTCAGCTGACTTCTGGGCCTACACCACATACCCAAAGGTTGGGTTTTTCTTCATGGCCAGTACCTGCCATCACAGCAGCTTCTCAGCCATGTGGCCTCTGAGTTATTCCAGAATGATTTTCTGGGGCTGTTGCACACCAAGTTTCCCAGCTCCCCAGGAGATGGCAGTCCTACATTTGGACAATGTGTGTAACTGGTCCCCAGGCGGCACCAGAGATTTCCTGAAGAGCAGTTTGAGGCTTGCAGGGAAACCCAAGTCATAGGCTGAATGTTTGGCTCTGTTGCAGAAGGAGAAGGCTACATCTGCAGGGCCTGATGGTCTATCCTACTCTGTGAGATACCAGAACTGGGGTGGTGAGCCATCAGCAATGACAACAGCCTGTGCTCAGCAGGCAGGTGTTCCTGGGTACATCTTAATGGTGCAAACCTTAGCAATGGGACGGTGTAACTGTCAAGGAGTTGTCACCAGAGATGACCTGGAGATCCATACAGCTTCAGCTCCTCTGGGTTTGAAGGCTTTAATCACAGCCAGATGAAAGCATCCTTGAGAGGACTGAGCCCACTGTAATGGAGCCTGACTGTTGGCTGCCTCTTCCCAAGTGGAGCCATGGCTGGTGCCTTTAGCATTCAGTCAGGGAGTGTGTGATGGGAACTGTCATTACTGCTAACCCTTGCCCCTACCAGGAGCCCCATCTGTCCCCCTGGTCCCTGATTACAGCCCTCGGCTGCTGTTGTCCTTCCCCTCGGTCCCCATCCTCCGTCTCCTCCACTGGCATCCCCAAGCTACCCTGCCTGGGGCTCTCTATTCTCTTTCCAGCCCTCTCTCCACCTCCCATCCCACCCCATTCACCCTTTTTGCCCTTTGATCTGTGGGGGGTGACATTCTCAGTGGGGCAGTTTTATGCTCAAAGGAGGAACAGCAGAACTGAGCAAGGGACACAGTGGCTGGAAGGGTGCTAGGAGACATGCTGGGTGCACAGCCCTTCCCAGAGATAACCTGCAACAATTTGGGATCTAATTCTGGGTTACTGCAAACTTTTCTTTGCCAATACAGATCAGGAGGCACTTAAAATTACTTTTACACTTGGGATGACGGCAAGTGATCTGTTTGCTAGGCAAAACATTGAACTCATCAAGGAAATCCATCACTGAACCCACCTCAGTTTTCTCTCAACCAGGGACAGACAACGAATACCTCAGTCAATGCCACCTCTATAGGCACAGGCCGATGTGCCTCACCTCCCCGGGGTCTGTCCTGGGCTGCAGCTTCTAAATTCTTCTTCCCTTTATTGTTCTCCGAGAGTCATCAGTGTTGGTGTTAGTGATGTGGTGCTGCACAGCACCTGCAAAGAGATTTCAGATTGCAAATACTCTGCAAATAGAGCTTCTAAATCTGGAGACGGCTGGGCCCAAAGAGAGTCAACCAAAAAGAGCACCTTCTCATATAAGATCCCTGTCATAAGAAACCAGCTGGAGAAGGTCTGACCTTCAGAGCAAGAAAGCAAACTTCTCGGGATTATTTTTAGGGTGGAAACAGAACTTTGTAGTGGAAAGTGCTGTCACAATGCTCTGCTCAGCACTCCAAAAAATGGTGGCTGCAGTCATGCTGCAGAGCCATAAACTCCTTTGGGAAATGAAGCCTCTTCATCCCTTTTCTCTTTAAAATCACATAAGCAATTCTAAAAATCCCCCTATTGAAATTCTGTTCTTTAGTAGATGCTTTGTTGTCTTTATTCTTTAAACTCTGCAAATGTTTATGGTTATATAATACTGCACTGAAGTTGTTGTTATTTCTGGGTCACTTTTTTACTTAAGGATGGAAAACTTTGTTGTTCTTCAAACTTTTGCAACCCCAAGAGGTTTTTTTCAAACATTTCTTTGAATGTAGAAGACCAGTGTCTTTACATCACAGGTGCCAGATGCCATCTCAGTATGAACAGGGAAATAAATCCATGTACAAATACACACCCAAAACCCTCAAACTGGATGCTGTAGAAAACCTTTTTAACATGAAATACTCACATTAGTTAGGGAGCTAATTTGTTATCTTGTGATTCTTTTGCAAACTTAGGATGAGAAGGCAGCCTGCTCTCCTGACTGGCCAGTTCTTCCTTTGATGCCTGTCTCAGGCTGAAGGCTATTTAAGAAGCACTGGCACTTAAAAAGGCTGTTTAAAGTTGAAAGATGTACATATAGGAAATAGAAGTGTTTGGACTCCTTTGAAACAGCCCTCTATTCCTGTTAAACCCTGGTGGAACTAAGGGGATTTATCTGAGAAAATGAGTTGAATACGGGGAGGAGATAAAGCTGTGTCTCCAGGGATGTTCTCAGATTTTCCCTCTTCAGAGACAAAAGCAGATTTATAAGTCTGGTACGTGCTTGTTTGGAGAGCGAGTCTGAGGAGCTGGTGACCCAGAGGAGCAAGGAGCTGGCCACTGGTGGGAGAGGTGACACGTGGGTCTCACCGTGCTGGCCGTGCTGCTGGTGCGGCTCACGGACAGGCGGTGCAGCGGCTCGCGCCCTGGCTTGCCTGGCCTGGGGACGCCTGGGGGGATGCCACACTGGTGATGTTCCTGGCAGCTTCCAAACAGACGCTTTGACTTGAAGGCGTTTTGACCTGTTGGTTTGCAAAGCCCTTTGGGTCACTGATTCCCTCCCTCGATTGACCTTTAATTATAGAAGATCCCTGGGCACAGCATCCCGCTGATCTTTGGCTGTTCTTGGCATCTGCACTTGAAAGCTATTTCCTTTTGTGTTCCCACACCTTGAGCAATGATGTTCCTCAGTAAGCTTCCCCATCCCTCCCATGACAATTCAGACCCCCCAGTTCCCCCATCCTGCTCCTCCAGGCTGGCGGCAGCACCACGGCCCTGTGGCAGCAAGGCTGGTGCACACTCTGCTGTCACCACTTTTCTGGGTGACTGCAGCTTGGCCTGAGGACTCCAGTCCAGCTCGGAGCTGGTGAGCACCTCCCAGCTGCAGCCCTCTGTGCTTGCACAGAAATTGCAGGCTGCAGCAGAAAGCCTGGCTGGGCTGTGAGTCTTGGTCTTGCAAATGGATGTTGCACCTTGCTGAAACAGGGGTTTGATGGAATGAGATGCATGCACAGGGGTAAGGGGGAGTGCAAGGACCTGTTGGCTCTGCTGATGGAAAGTCCTTTCCCTGCCTCGGTGCAGGGCTTTGCTTAGCTGTGCACCGGTGTAAAATGGGGCATCTTTCTCTCATTCATTCTTTGGCTAAACATAATCAGAGGACATTGGGGTCCTTCTGGGGCCCCTTGGCCTGTTATCCCCCAGGGCACAAGCAGCTGAAGTTGCTGTGGGTTTCCTTCAGAAGGACATTTCAATCTTTTCCGTGAGTCTCCTTTTTCTCCTCCTTTTTCCTGCTCTGTAAGGAAGAGTTTTGGTCTGGGGGAAGATTCATGGACTAACAGAAGTCAACTCTGCCCCAAGTGCTCCAAAGTCAGAACAAGCCTGAGTTATGATCTTAAATGCCACTTTGGCTTTGTGGAGCATGACGTGCTTTTCCCCTCAACCCAGGTAGCTGTCAGGAACCAAAATCAGGGCTTGCCCTTTACCCCAGTGCCTGTTGGACCACCCAATGCCAGACTCAGTGCCAGCTCCTTGAGTATCATGCAGGCAGGAGCCACCATAAATAAAGTGTGACCTGAGAGCAGGACACAGCTCCTGGGGGGTGGCCAAGGCTGCCACTGCGCTGTCTCCACCGATGCTCCCCGGAGGGTAACATGGGCTCCCATGGTGCTTCGCATTCAGAGCTGCAGACAGCCGATGGCCTTGTGTCTCTCAGATAAAAAGGAGAGAGCTGATTAATCCTGGAGCTAGAAGAGCCACAAAGAGGGGACTTCAGGGGAGATTTGTTAGCAGTGGCCCAGATACATCAAACTGTCTCCTGCATAAAGCAATATCCCATTAGTGCTCCTCTGTGCAGCACAGCTTACGTTACTTATCCTATTAAATGACCGACACTGCTTTGATACGTTCCAAGGAGAATGTTAAACTTCCTGTCAATTTTCCCTGACTGACCTCAGTCAGTCACCTCTAACGGAGATGGCCACCTGCCTGGTGGTGAGGTGACATCTGTGTCCCTGCCAGGCAGACAGGAAGCTGGTGCGGTGGGCAGAGCAGCACCTGATGAGCTCACAGGGGTCCAACTGTGGGAAAACCCTGACTCTGTCATGTGCCATGGGTCACACAGGGCTGCCAGGGGCTGTCCCCAAACAGCACCAGCATCACTGACCTTCTTCTGGTGCGTCAGTGAGCGCTGCCCAGCTCCTGGCTCATAGCACATACGATGAGTGCAGATCTCATGGAGACACCTACAGATGCTCTTTCTCTTTGCTGCTGGTGACAAGGTGTCCTCCAGGTGTGACAGTGTTGTTCCTCCTTTTCTGGAGTTAATCCAGCTGGACTCTAGATTTTTTTTCAATGTCAGCAAGCTGTTGAATTACAGAATCACAGAATCATCTAGGTTGGAAAAGACCTTGAAGATCATCTAGCCTAACCAATAATTGGACCAAAAGGCTCCAGCTTTACTCCATACCTGCAAGCCTGGAACATGTTTTTGGTCTGATGGTCTCGCTCAAACAGGATGGGCTGCTGGCAACCTTTCCTCTGAATGGGCATGTGCTGGAGGCAGCACTGTCCCTCCTGCCAAAGTGCCAGTCCTCAGGTGCTGTTTTGAGGGACGCTGCAGGAGATGGCCACCCCAGACACAAATATACATCTATATTTTCAGTCACCATTTCACTGTCATCAGAGCCAGTAATGCCATCCCCGTTACTGGATTTCAGTAGCTCCTGAGCCGAGGGCCCAAGGCTGGCGCTGCAGCACAGGCAGACACACCACAGAAGCGTGCAATGGCCAAACCCCACGCAGCAGCTCAACCCCAACCCTGCTGAATTCCTGACCAGGAAACATCTGCTCACACCTGAGTGTTGCCAAGGGAAAATCCTGCCTTAGGGTCAGCTGTAGCTGTGGGTGCACCCTGCAGGTGCTGGGGCCTCTTTTGTAACCATGCAGACAAGAAGAAGGGAGCTGTGGCCACCTCTGCACCTGGAGGTGGCCTTGCACCTGACCACAGCACCTTTCCTTCCCAAAGGTCTCTTTGAGAAGCAGTCCTCTTCCCTCTCTTTGCTGATCCCTAGTTGGTAAGAACTTGTTCTGGCCTAAAGGAAGGATTTTTAATAGGCTGGGGTGTGCGTGGGGAAGCTCCTCCATATGCACTGTTTCCATGGCTGGGGAATTGAGAGGAGCCAGGAGACACCCATCCTAGAGCCAAGTCACACAGCTCTCACTGTAGCACTCAGCATTGGCCAAGAGGAGACAATGCCAAGCTGCTGTTTAATCAGTTTTCCCTTTTCAGGGAATCTTGGTGACCACAGCTAATGGACACAGTGCCTTCTCCTGCATTGGTGTCTGTGCCCATGCTGAGGAATTGCTTCAGGTCCCCCAGGAGCCAGAGCCTCTCCCAGGACACCCACCACCTCCTGCCACTGCAAGACTATGGGGCTGGAACACGGCGCTGCTGAAACCATCCCATGGCAAGGGCCAGCCTGGAGCGGACCTGCAGGCTCCTGAAATGTGGGAACCAGGACAGGGCAGTAACTGCTGCAGCTGAGGCCTGGCTGAGCCCTACTGTAGCCAAATTATTAGGACAGGGTAGAAAGAAAAGTCACTGTGCCTAATATCTAGGAAGGTATCTCATGAGACAAGTAGCCTTTACCTCAAAATATTTCCCATTTATGGGCAGAGGGAAGAGAATGCTGTAATCGAGTGTTGTAGCACTATTAAGCAAATGATGTTCAGCTGAAGTGATAAAACCTGGCATCCACATCCCTGTGGGGCTGCACAGACCATGAGTGCATATGAAAATTCACTGGCTCGAAAGTAAAAGGGTGTTAGAAGTGCCTTTTTGGAGGATGGCTCCAGCATGATATGAAGACATCTGTACCATCTTATTTCTTCCATCCTTGGGTTTGGAATACAAAGGATTTGTCTGGAGAGCTGAATTTTACCGATAACACTAGCAAACTCAAATGTCCTTGTGTTTTGTCCCTGTGAACCTCTCTCCCTGCAGTGACCTTGTCCATCCTGTGCCAAGGGGCGAGGGCCACGAATCGAGCCAAGGGCATGGCTTGTCCCCTGTGCAGGTGTTGAGGACACCGGGTAAGTACCAAAGCTCAGCACAATTGTCATATGTGGATATGAATAGGGAGGAAAAGGGATATAATTAGAAGATTTGGCTAACATTTTTAATTCTAACTCCAGTAGAATTCCCCTTGAACAGCTCTTGTCACACTCAGTCCGGTCTAACACTACTTTTCACAAGCCATGTTCAAACCTGACTCTGCTAAAGGCTTCCCATGGTATCTGTCTTACACACTGTGAACTCCTGTTTTCTCTGAGGTCTTGCAGTACTTGCAGCGCAGAAAGTGATGATGAGATCAGCAATGACTTGCCCTACCTGCAAGGTGGCTCCTGACAATCCCACCCATTCCCCAGGCTGAAATTCCATGGACGCAGAGTCCACACGGCAGGCCCGGGACTCTCCTTCCCCATCAGGGAAGATCAAGTGTTAATTTTTCACAGTGGTTTAAATGAATGGCACAGAGGTACCACCACAAAAGCACTTAATCTCATTCTTGGCTTGCTAATCAGTTCATCTGTGGCAAATCCAGGTTTTGGAAGATGGAAAAAAGTAAGAGCAGCATGCCCCCGCCTCTGAGCCCACTGTGGCTGTTTGCAGGAGTGAGCTCCCCGGTTTCAGCTCAGCGTCGGCTGGAGGCAGCAGATGGCATTGCTGCACGACGTATCTGCTTCTCACCAGCAGCCGTGAAGCCACTCAGAGGATTATATTTCTTGGTCCATACTTTCTAGCCATTAAATCTCTCATTTTAAAGCAATTTCTTTCTCAATGACAGGTTTCCACACTGCTCCAGTGCTTATGTGTACCTGTTTTCCTTTTCACTCCTTCCAGCCGCTGGTCACATTGTGTCTTGAGACCATTTTTAGGAAATCTGGATGTTGTGGGTAGGTGACATATGGTTATATTGTACCTGCCATGTCTCACGTTGTTCTTTGGGCTCACAGAGGAGCAAAAGACATGCTCTGAAGAGGAGAGAGGGGCTACCTGGGTGGGAAAGATGCCATGCTGGGTTCCCAGGGGAAGAGCCACCAGCCCTGGAGGTCCCTTGGCCACAGACAGCCATGGGGAAGGGGCTCCGCCTGCTGACAACTGTGAGATGTTTCCGTCTCATGGTTCAGACCAGGAGCACCTTGCACAAGGTCTCTGCCCATTCCTGTCCCCAGCTGCCACTGGGACTGCAGGGTCGGGTTTTCTTCCACATGGGTGCCAGCGTGGCTCTGGGTGGCATCTCCTGATTACCTGCAGAGCACCACAGTCACAGCCTGGAGGGGTGGGATGTGCGGCAGGAGCCTTGTTCACACCATGAGGCTTAAACCATAAACTGCATGGGACAGTGCAGAGGCTAGTGGTGACCTTGGATTTTTAGTAGGGGAAGAGACCAGTGGCCTCCTGGTTTAATGGCCAGATACAACTCTGGGATTTCTGTACAGAAGCAGAAAGTCCATGCAGGCGGGAAGAGAAAGGCTGGAAGTGTCCCAGCCTTTGTTGACCATCTTTCTTTGTACATGGCAGGTTTTAATGAACATCACATTTCAGAGCACCAACTGTCACTGCCAGGGGTCAGGAAGATCCTTTTCACTTACTCCATCCCCTCTGCATGAAGATTTGGGGTCAGGAGGCAGTTTCCCGGGTCAGGTGGTTGTTACTGGCTTGCTCTGTTCAGCACCAAATGTTACCCCAGGCACTGGCTGCTCTGGAGGGATGCAGGAGAGCATCAGCCTCCTCCTGCTCACCCTGCCTCACATCAGCAGTCTGTCACCTTGACAGCCTTACTTACACTGATGTGGGGATGGTCCCTGCTCTGGTGAACTCTTCAGGGCTAAGCAGTGCCTGCGTGGGTCCCAACAACAGGGTGAGAAGGGGGACATGGCCAGGCACTGGCTTGGTCTTGCATGGGTGAAGTGCGAAGGCTTGGACAATAGCCCCAAGCCAGAGCTGATCTATAGATGAATCCTGAATATATTTTATAACTAATAACCATTGTGCTAATAGGTATTATACTAAGTTATAACAAACCACCTATTCTGATGTAAAAGGTGGAGGTATTGAAGCCTGAGCAACAGGCCCCGAGCCAAAGCTGCTTAGTATGTAGTCACTAACAGAATAGGTATGCTCATTAATGAAAGATGTAACTTAAGTATCGTATACTCTTTACTGGTGGTGGATATAATGAAAACATGTCTTTGCTGAATGTATCTCTCTTCTTCTCCGTGTAGGGGTAAGTTAACAAAGCCGTGAAGCCAGCTGTCCGGCCTTGGGACAGATGTGTGGCCTTGTTTTAAAAACAACAGAAATAAATGAGATAAGGAGGGAAACTCCCTGATCTTCTCCCCTGAGCCCTGGCCAGGCTCTGGGGGAATCTAATGAGAGAGTGAAACCAGATGTTCCTCTCAAAACAAAGGTGCCAGCTATTCTGCCTGGCTGATTTTTGGGTCTCTAAGGCCGGACCCGCTCCCAGCGACTCTGGAGGCCTCAGCTCCGAGTGGAGGCACCACGTGGGATTTCCCCCTGCCCGGGCCAGGCTCTGCCAACCCTCATGTAACTGGGGCTGCCCAGCGCTGCGGGGCTGGGGGGCGGTAACGGGTGAAAGTGGTGATGGATCTTTCTTAATCACTATTCTCTTCCTCAGGTAGTAATGATTTGATGCATTACCCTGTATTTTCCTAATTGTTTAAGTGCAGTATTCTGTCTTACTGTTTTGTGGGGTTTTTTGGTATTATTTTGTTATATTATTTAGTTATTTTGAGAAAAATACACCTACTCTTTTCACTCTGATATCTGAGTTTAATTGATATCCCTAATAAGCAGAACAATGGGAAGGGGAAAGCAAAATCTTTGTAACAGGTCTGGATGGAAGCAAATGGAAGTGGCTCAGCCGGTGTGTTATCCTCAGGAGGCAGGGGCCACCCTTTTGCTGCTCAAAATCCTGGAAGACCTCAAATTCCTCAGCAATGTTGGAGGAAAGAATGAGTGAGCTGGAGCTCCTGCATGGGCACAGACAGCGGCAGGGGCAGAGCAAACCAGCCAAGTGACAAAAGGAAAGGATGATGGTCAGAGGGAAGTTCATCACACTTGTGCAAAACCAAAAGCAAATACAGCAGGAAGGCCCTGGCTTCTGAACCAGGGTTCAGCAAGCAGTAAAGTGTTCATAAACAGTGCTTTTTGGTATCTTCACTTGCAGGCATTGAAGCCACTGAAACCAAAGAGGAGGAGGAGGTTCCTCCATCAGTGAAGTGGGAACCCAAGGCCCCTTTCTCCTGGTGAACATGGAGATAGAGTTTATCAGCTATTACAAGAATTTCTTTCTTGCCCATATTTGGATGATATGGTATTATAGAATCATAGGATTATTCAGGTTGGAAAGGACTTTTAAGATCATTGAGACCAACCATAAACATAACACTGTCAAGCCCACCACTAAACCATGTCCTAAGTGCCACATTTACACATCTTTTAAGATCTTCCAGGGATGGTGACTCCACCACTTCCCTGGGCAGCCTGTTCCAGTGATTGACAACTGTTTTGGTGAAGAAATTTTTCGTAATATCCAATCTAAACCTCACCTGGTGCAACATGAGGCCATTTCCTCTTGTCCTATCGCTTCTTACATGGGAAAAGAGAGCAACACCCACCTCACTACAACCTCCTGGCAGGGAGTTGCAGAGGGCCAGGAGGTCTCCCCTCAGCCTCCTCTTCTCCAGACTGAACCCTCCCAGTTCCCCCAGCCGCTCCCCAGCAGACCTGTGCTCCAGACCCTGCCCCAGCTCCGTTGCCCTTCTCTGGACATGCTCCAGCACCTCAGTGTCTTTCTTGTAGTGAGGGGCCAAAACTGAACACAGTATTTGAGGTGTGGCCTCACGAGTGCCGGGGGGACAACCACTTCCCTGTCGCTGCTGGCCACACCATTTCTGATACAAGCCAGGATGCCACTGGCCTTCTTGGCCACCTGAGCACACTGCTGGCTCATGTTCAGCCAGCTGGCAATCAATAGCCCCAGGTCCTTTTCCACTGGGCAGCTTTCCAGCCACTCTGCCCCAAGTCTGTAGCATTGCATGGGGTTGTTGTGACTGAAGTGCAGGACCCGTGTCACAACAGCCTGAGCTGTTGAATCTCATACAGTTGGCCTCAGCCCATCGCTCTAGCCTGTCTGGATCCCTCTGTAGACCCTCCCTACCCTCGAGCAGATCAACACTCCCACCCAACTTGGTGTCATCTGCAAACTGACTGAGGGCGCACTCGATCCCCTTGTCCAGATCCTTGATAAAGTTACTAAACAGAACTGGCCTCAGTACTGAGCCCTGGGGAACCCCACTTGTGACCCGTCGCCAACTGGATTTAACTCCATTCACAAGCCTTTGGGCCTGGCCTTCCTGCCATTTTTTTACCCTACAAAGAGTAGTCCCATCCAAGCCATGAGCAGCCAGCTTCTTCAGGAAATGCTGTGGGAAATTATGTTAAAGGCTTTACTAAAGCCCAGGTAAACAACATCCACAACCTTTCCCTCATCCACATATTAGATCTTTGAGCTCAGTCTTCCTGAGACATTAATATTTGCTTTACACAAACTTAATCCTGGTTTATAATGCTGGAAACAGGCACCGAAAGTGACATGTTCATTGCAGTAAAACTTTATGTGTGTGCAGAGGCACATGACAGCCTAGATACTAGTGTTTTCTTTACTCAGGATGTGCTTTGAGGTTTCTTCTGGGAAAAGGGAACAGCACTTGTACCTCACAGCTGGGAGACAAACATTTCCCATCTTGCAGATGTTGCAGAGGCCAATAAGGAAAAAGTCAAGGAGGGGGAAGTAGAAATATCTGCTTAGGAACGAATGTCCATAAACCCATGGAGAACAGCTTGCTAGTAGGATGAAGGGGCTCTTCAATAAGCCCATGCCGACAGGAGGGCGTCCCTGCAGTGGTGGCAGCTGCCTTTTGCCTGCTCGCTGCCCAAGGCTGCACCTGCTCCAGGCCTGTGCCCCAGGAGGTCCGGGGAGGCTGTGGCTGCTGGGGAGGTGATTTTAGCAGCATTAGGGCAGCTCCACACTGCCATGAAACCACTTCAGCCTCATCTGCATGGGCTCTGCTGTCAGGAGGTGTGGGGAGGTCTGCAAGTGCGGGTCCACCCCAGTAGTGATTGATGGTGCCAGGTCCACAGTGTCTGTTCAGTGCTCTGAAAGAGCATTGTCTGCTTGGTGATACCCCACTGCACCGGAGAAACTCCTGACTTCTCAGACAGGACTCCTCTGAGCTCAGCATGGCTTTGTGGCCATCCCAGTGGCTGCAGTTCTGGCTGACTTGGGGCATTGATACAGACCTGTCATGAAACAGAAATGCTGGGAATGGGATAACCATCCCATCCCTCCCACGGTAAAGGTGCAGGCATCACATCTCTGCATAAATGAGTTATGGGAGAAAAAGGTTTTGAAACATCATGTAACAGGCAGAGTACATTGGGGGAAAAAAAATCTCATACTTTCTCGATTCACTTATGAACTGTTTTGGAAATCCCATCTACCTCCCTGTTTTCTCTGTTCCAATGGCTGAGCTGCAAGTTAGTGCCCAGGAGTAACTCTGGAAGTATCTTGGGGTAACCTGGACTACTCTGTGCAAGCAACACAACTTGTGTTTCACCTTCACGGTCATCTCAGCCTTGATGAGGAAAGCCCCTTCTGTCCTGAAACTCTTGCTCTCTCTCTGGATGAGATTTTTGCAGTTGCTGATATTATCCAGTCATTTTTCAAATGTCTGGAAACTGCTTTTTTCAGTATTTTTTTTGAATCATAGCTCAAAGCTCTCTTGGGTGAAAGATGTCATTCGTCACCAGAGGCTGTACTGCAGATAGCTGGAGCTTCGCACAGTGATGGTTAGTGGCACATGCTGTGAACCACACAATTTGTGCACTCAGCTGGAAGAGGCAGGAGATTTTCCCATCAGCAGATGCTCCCTAGAGTGATACCTGCTTTCATCTGAGACTCAGGCAGAAATAGTCTCACATTTGAACTGGTCCGGTCCCTTCAGGTCTGTTCCTGACATTAGGTCCGGACAGGACAGTCTGGATGTTGTCACCATCTGCTTCATGCCTCTGACTGCTATTGATCCATTCAGTGTGTCTGCTCCAGAAGAAAGCAGGGACATCCCTGGGGTCTTCCATGGTGCTGGTTTGCTGCACCCAGCTCTGTCCACCTTGGCAGGGATCTGGCAGGAGGGACCCCAGACCCTGCTCAGCTGTGTGATGAGCAGGACTGCATCTCCAGGGTTGTGCCCTGTGGAGGTGGCAGGAGGGAGCTCAGCAAATGTCTCCAAACACCCGTTGATGACATATCCAGGAAAAGCCCTGCCTGACACATGGAAGCACGCAGACGCCTTTGGCGCTCCTGGGCTGTATTTGCTCAGGTTCTGATAAGGGCTCTTATCAGAGCAGATGAACATCCCTGGTTAGGGTATGCGGTTACAGCCCTATTGCCAGCAGGTTGTTAACACGCCCCAAGACAAGAATGGGATGGGACTAGGAGCAGCTGTGTCAGCCCCACTCCTCCCCTGACATGGCACAGCTATAAATCTTGTGATTCAAAGCGTATCTACAGTAACTTTCTGGACTTGCAACTGTCCCCGTGGAGTCGGTATGGGTGAGTGTGAGCATCGGGGAGCAGGGCAGGGTGGGTTCCCCGACTCAGAGACGCCCAGAAGCAGTGCTGGTGGAGGGGGGGTGTTGAGAGTCTCCATCCTGGCAGAGGCATCTATTTGCTCCCATGGATGGAGGACTTACCACAGAGGCAGGAGATGACACAGAGCACAAAGCAAGCCAGACTCAAGGTCCGTGCTGCTTCTCCCAGGGCAAGGGAGGAGGTTTGAGAGGGACAGACAAGTCCCTGGGTCTGCCCTCAGCCCAGCCTAGCAGCTCCCCTGGCAGTGTCAAGGCAGAGGAGAGCTCAGGATAGGTCAGGTGGGAGAAGAGGGAACCTGTGTGCTGCCTGTCCCAGAGAGCAGGGAGCAGGGGAGGGTCAGACCAGCTCTGGGCCATACTGGAGGGGTGCAGACCCGCTGGCCATCCTGCAGAACCGGTTGCCGCCCTGCTCTGGCTAGAGCGACAGCAGCTCTGCACACCCTGCACTGCTGCGAGAGCTTTGGGAAGAGCTTCAGCAAGGCTCAGGGTCCAGGCAAAGTGAGGGCATGTCTCTGCAAACAGGGTTTATCCAGGCTGCTGAAATATAGGCTGTGCTCAAGAGCAGGAGGGCAAAACCTACCGAGGGGAAGTCAGTGGCCTTTCCCCATGCAAATAGGTCAGTGGGGACAGAGATGTTGAACAAAGAAAATCATTGCAGAACTCATCTCCTTGGAGTACCCCTCTATCCCAGCAGAGCAGGGACAGGTTCAGAGGAAAGGATGGCTCATGTCTAGCAGATAGTCACTGCGCTTTAGTTATAGCCCAGCAGAGTCATAAATCTAAGTGTAAATACGTTAAAAATGTGGGATTTAATTTACAGGTGTATGAAAAGTGAAGGTTTCCAATTGCTATCAAGGGTCCATCATTATAAGGTATCTAAAATAGAGGCACAGCTGGAAAAGTCATCCCTTTCCAGATGTTTTGCAATCTAACACTGCTGTAACCCCCAGAGGTGCAGCTGTGATAACATCTTTACATGAATGTTCAGATTTTAATTTTGGGATAACTATTATTACAATTAAGTTGAATAACATTATTGAGTACAACTTGGGTGTTTTATTTGGATTTCCGGTGAAAAGTCTGAAGAAATACCATCTAGCTGTTTAGTGAGCTGGAGGGGCAGAAAATATTCTGCAAGGTTTCTGTTAAAGTGTGTGCTTAAAGATAAACACTTTGGTCAAGTTTCTTCTGATCTGCAAAGGACTCTCTTGTGATTGCTTGGTTTTGCACCCAAATTTCCTGGTTACCTTGGGCTCTGGCCTAAAGCATGGGGACAAGGATTCTGGCTGCAGGGTTCATGTCAGAAAGGCAACCCCGTGCTGTCCTTGCAGGTTTGGGTGACTTGCAGCTGTTTCACCTCACTGCATCTGGTTCCTCATCCCATGTTTTACTCTCACAGTGGGATGCTCTGTTTGACTCTCATCTTGTCCCTTCCTCCTCCAGCTGTCCAGTGCACTCCCCTCCTGTTCCTTGCCTGTGTGTTGTCCCTGCCTACCCCACATCTCACCAGGAACATCCAAAGCCTGTCCCTCTTCAATCAACCTGTCCTGAATAACACCGTGTCTGCTCTGAACACCTTAGTGAATGGTAGGTGCATGGAAGGTCTCCATCTGTGCCAGCAGGACATGGCTAGTGCCACTGTAGATCAGGCTGTCAGGGAGGGCATCTTTCACCCCAGTGCTCCTCACAAGCTGTCAGCAGAGCCCCAGCATCTCTCAAGAGAGACAAGTGCCACAGCATGAGTCACCTGCCCTTCCTCAAATATCTGGTGGGTACAGACATGGGACCTTGTAGTCACGGGCCTTTCTGCTTATGTGTAGGTGTGCTAGAGCCCAGAGGGTTTGCTCTGATCCCCTCCTGAAGCCAAGGCTGTCCCTCCTCACACATCCCCTGCCCTGCAGGAGGATGGTAGGAGCAGTCAGTGGCAAGGATGTAGGAGAAAGGAAGGGTTCTGCTGTTATGAGCATCCCCAGATATTTCGCTTGTCCCACAGCTAAGAACTAGAAAAGTGGTCTTCTATGAAATACCCTCGTCTGAGGGTACTTTGTACTGCACCATCCCCTGTGTCACCCTCAGCCTTTCTGCCAGGGTACTCACAGTCCCAGAAGGGTGAAACACAGCTCCTGCAGTGGTGGGAGAGGATGGCTGATGTCCACTTGTCTGAGGGAACGCGTGGCAAACCCATGCTCAGTCTCTGAAACCACAATACACCAAAAATATTTGGAAATTGAAACTTCAGAAGGCAAAGGCTCCTTCCCCAGCCAGAAGCACGATCAGAGGTGTAAAGACCCTACATCTTACTGCCTGGACCTCACTTCTTGAGACAGAAAGTACCTCCTGATCTGGGATACAGGCTTCTTTGGTGTTGCTCCCCCCCGTTTCCAAATCTCCTCTCTGCTGTCATTTTCCATGTTCCAGGTCAGCTCCGGCTGGTGAACGGCTCCAACCAGTGCTCTGGACGGGTGGAGGTTTGGTACCGCAATGAGTGGGGAACGGTGTGTGATGACAACTGGGACATGAGAGATGCTTCCGTGGTATGCAGGCAGCTCGGCTGTGGAGAGGCAATATCAGCCCCAGGCAGTGCTTATTTTGGGAGTGGCTCTGGGACTATCTGGCTGGACGAGGTTAACTGCAATGGCCAGGAGGAGCTCCTCACTGAGTGCTCGCGGCCAGATTGGGGAGTGCACAATTGCAGGCACAGCGAGGACGCAGGTGTTGTGTGCTCAGGTGAGGATGCTGTTTGCACAGTCTGTGCTCCTCAGAAAATCCATGTCTCATTAACCTCTTGGTCTTGCAGAATCAATCACAGGAGGACTATGGGCTGTGCCTCAGTCTTTTTGCACAGGGTCTTGTTTAATCACCCTCTCTCTTGCCCCAGGCTGGCCCAAGGACTGCAGCGAGATCCCTGCTGGCAGCCCCAGCGGCATCTACGTCATCCAGCCCACAGGACTGCACCCCATCGTGGTGTCCTGCGAAATGAACGTGACGGACGGGGGCTGGACGGTCATCCAGAGGAACCGGCAGAGCACAGAGATCACCTGGGCCGAGTCCTGGAGCACCTACAAGTATGGCTTTGGGAACTTGCACACCGACTACTGGCTGGGCACTGAGTACATCCACCAGATCTCCCAGCAGAAGGTCTATCAGGTCAGGTTTGTCATCTGGGATGCCTCAAATAACACCAAGTTTGCAGACTACAACCTCTTCAATGTGGAAGATGAGTCCCAGGGCTACCGGCTGAGGCTGGGCGCATACTCAGGGACAGCGGAGGATGCCATGGCCTCAAAGAATCCCAGTGTCATACACGACAACATGAAGTTCTCTGCAAAAGATCTGGATCAGGACACTTCAAGCGGGAACTGTGCCTCCAGCTCTGGGGGCGGGTGGTGGTACTCTGCGTGTTATTCTGTACGGCTGAACGTCAAGGGGGCCATAACGTGGGGCAGCCTCTGCAACGGGAACTGCAAAGCTTCTGCCATCCTCATCAAACCCATTACCTACTGCTAGGGCTTCACTGCTGCCTGTCTGCACCAGGATGTGGTCAGAGCAGTGACCCGCTGGGCCCTTCTTTGCTGGGAGGAGGGGAGCGGGTGGCAGCAAGGCACACCCTGTGCTGCCAAGAGATTTTTCTTTCACCTCTTTTGCAGAGCTCCTCTGCTTCCTTTGCTGGGTTCTTCCCCTTTGAGCTGTTTTTATTTTAGTAGCATTATAATCAGACTAACACACTGCAGACCCTCTACTTCTGAAACATACCTACTCTGGAGAATAAAGTGTGCTTTAGAAACATAATGCCTGATGAGCATCTGTTTTGGGTTTATGTGTATGTGGCGGTGGTTTTGGTACCGGGGGATAGGGCTACGGTGGTGGCCCCTGTGAGAAGCTTCTCCCAGCTCCCCTGGCTCCACGTCGGACCCTCTGGCCAAGGCCAGGCCAATTAGTGATGGTGGCTGCACCTCTGTGACAATGTATTTAAAAAAGGGAACCTGGGAGAGGGTTGGGACTGATGAGGAGGATGTATGAGAAGGACACCTGTGTGAAAAGGTGACTTGAGGTCAGAGGAAGAAAGGAGGAGGAGATGCACCAGTGCAGAAACACCCCTGCAGCCTGTGGGGAGAGGGCAGGCTGTGCCCTGAGCCCACGGGGGGAGCAGATGCCACCTGCAGCCCGTGGAGGACCCCACGGTGGAGCAGGGGCTGCACCCAGAGAAGTCCGGGACTCTATGGGAAGCCCCTGCTCTGTTGGAGTTCAGCACTGTGAGGACTGCAACACACGGGAAGGATCCACGCTGGAGCAGCTCGGGAAGAGCTGCAGCCCATAGGAAGGACCCGCGTGGGAGAAGTTCGTGGAGGACTGTCTCTCATGAGCGGGACCCACACTGGAGTAGGGGAAGACCGTGAGGAGTCCTCCCCCGAGGAGGAAGGAGTGGTGGGACTGATGGCACCCCCCATCCCCTGCCTCCTGTGCGGCTGCAGGGCAGCAGATAGAGAAATCAGGAGCAAAGCTGAGCTCAGGAAGAAGGGAGAGGTGGGGGGAAGGTGTTTTTAAGATGTGGTAACACTTATCACTGTCCTACTCGCTAAGTGGTGGTGTTGTTAGTGTTAAATTGTTTCGATGTTCTTTTGCTTCCCCTAACAAATTTGTCTTTTGCCTGTGACTGTAATGGGTGAGTCATCCCTCTCTGTCCTTATCTCGATTCCCGAGCCTTTTGCTTTATTTTCTCCTTCCCATTCCTGCGGGGAAAGGGGTGAGTGAGCAGATGCCTGGTGCTCAGTTGCCCTCTGGGCTCAAACCACAACAGCATCACAGGAAAAAATATTCTTAGCTGTATAAATAATCAGTCCCTTTATCTTCAGTATCTGTCACCCCCTCATCAGCTGGAGTGGGATAAGGATAAATATTCCTTATTTCCTAGTAAATCTGAATTGACCCCACTTGCTGAAGATGTGGCCTTGACACTATGTCTGGAGAGGTGTTTTCACCCATGCTGTCTCTCAGTTCAGCAGCTGTTAAAACCTCAAGTAAAGTTCTGTGTCTAAACACCTACAACCTGCAAATAGCTGCCCCATATCTCCAGTGTGTTTTCACAGGCCGGTGTGGAGTGAGCAGCTGTGCTAGGGCAGTACCAGGTTTCTTATGAAAAAAATCGATGGGATTGCAAGGAAAATATCAACTAGGGATTTAATTTTAATCAAACACAGCTACATTTAAATAAACTGCAAGTTTTTGATGCTGGAGAGGCTTTGGGGAAGGACAGGTAGCTCCAGGTGCTTTGCACGGCGCTGCCAGCCCTGAGGGGAGAGGGGCTGTTTGGTGCCTGTGGGCACTGCCCAGGCCAAGGCTGGGCACTTGCACGGGGCATCACCCAGTGCTCCCGCCACTGCCCAGCACTCCCACGTGCCCATCCCGGCACAGTCCCACCGCGGCACAATTGTACCATCGCTGCAGCGTGGGTTGCGTGAACACGGGTCCGGGTCACTGCGGAAGAGCTGCTGTCTCCAAGCCTTTTGTTCTCCCTGGCCTCTGGCCAAAGCGCAGGCATGAGCTGCCCATGGCCAGAACGTTCCGGCCACCCCACATCACCTGCTCCAGGGTGGGAAAGCACTGGCCATGATGCAGTGCCCTGCTGCCCCCAGGAGCCCTGCATCCCCCCCAGCCCCCTGCTGCAGGGAGACCAGGCTGAGCCCCATGGGGCTGCCCCAAGACCCCTGATCATCCCAGGGATCCCCACCCCCCTGACGCTTTGAAGCATCACCTCCCAGCACCCACCCTGGGCTGCCAAGGGACCCAGGGACCAAACCAGGGATGGATCCCTCATGGCATGAACCTCGCTACTGGTGACTTGATGCCCCTCAGGGTCACCCTGACCCCCCCCAGCCGGTGATGCAGGATGGGGCTGCGACTCCAGCTCCCCCAGCCATAGCATGGAGTGGAGCAAGGAGGGGGTGAGTCTCAGACAGCAGATACAGCAAGTGGGATCTTCCCCCATGAACATGGTGCCCCCCTGCATCCTCCACCACCCCAGGACCTCGACTGCTCCCACGTGTGTGTGCAGTGTTGTGGCGGAAGGTAGACACAAGGCAGCAAAGTCTGGCTCCGGGGTTTATTGAGGCTGATTTCTCCCACCATGGGTAGCAGAGCTGTGGGGTGTTTGGGGCCCAGGGAGGGAGCAGGGCCTGAACAAAGCAGGGATACACCGATTGCACAGGGAAGGGAACTTGCACTGCCTCCCCCTCCCCAGGGCAGGACTGGGTCCACCCACCCCAAACTAGTGCCCATGTCCCAGTGCTGGCCAGTACCGTGGCACTGGGTGAAGCTGCCCGCGTGCCCGGGGCTCCGGGCAATTTCTCCTGCGCCCCAGAGCTGCTGTGTTTCTGCTGGTGATGGTGCGGGACCTGCAGGAAACGCAGGATGTGTCCCAGGGTTGGCACGGGGCTGTTGGCAGGCACGGGAACGGGGCACTGAGCTGGGGAGGGTGGCACTTCCCCAAACCCCCAGGAGGCTGGGCGCTGTGGCACGGTCAGCACACGTCTGTGGGTTTGACCAGGATGAGGGAGGATGCGCAGTCGCCATTATCACAGAATCCTGGCCAGAGGATGTGGTTTTTGGCATTGAGCAGGACATTCTGACACCTGTCGTACCACCAGCCCCCGTAGCTGTTGGCACAGTTCCCACTGTACTGGTCCTGGTCCCTGTCAGTTGTGCTGAACTTCATGTTGTCATGAATGCCCCCCTTCTTGGGGTGATAGCTGGTCAGATAGTCATCCCCATCACCAGAAAACCGGCCTAGCCTCAGTGGGTACCCGCTGGCCTCGTTCTCCACTCTGAAGATGTCATACTCGGCGTAATGGGTGACGTTGGCTTTATTCCGCACAATGAAGCGGACCTTGTAGGTGCCCTGCTGTGTCAGCAGGTGCAGGTACTCGGTGCCCAGCCAGTGATCACCCTGCACGTTCCCGAAGCCGTACTTGTAGGTGGTCCAGGACTCCTTCCATGTAATTTCGGTGGTGTAAGTGTTTCTCTGGACAACCGTCCAGCCCTTGCCTTCCGTGTCCATGTCGCACCACACCGCACGTGGGAGTGACGCTGCTGGCTGGATGACGTACACCCCACTGGGGCTGCTGCTGGGGAGGTGGCTGCAGTCTGCGGGGAACCCTGCGACAGCAGATCAAGCAAGATGTGAGGGACCTGTACTGGAGAATGCGCTGACAGGTTGTTGTCGGGCATCTGTCCAGATGCTGCTGATGCTGGATCTCACTGGGTGCTCCACAGCCTGTGAAACTTGTTGAGAACACCTCTTCTCTGCTGGTGCTGAGAGGCAAGAACTGCCCTGCTTTGCAGCTTAGGTTTGAATGCAGAGACCTGCAGTATCTCTGTGGCTGCAGACATGGGGACACTTGCACCCAGCACCTCAGAACCTGCCTGTGCCCAGCGATGGGAACCATGGCTGAACCCAGACCTGGTGGCTCCTCCGCTGTCCCCCCGGCTCCCTACTCACCGCTCTGGAAGCTGGTCCCACGCGCTGGGCTCACACAGAGGAGAAGCATCGCCACCATGGCGGGCAGGAGGACAAGGTGTGTCCCAGCCTGGAGCCCTGGGGAGAAAAGCGCCCACTGCCATCAGGATCCAGGGGCAGCCCCCTGGCCCCCAGTGAGCTCGGACCAGGGAAGGCAGAGCCGCAGGGTGCAGGCAGGAGCAGGGGGCTGCCAGGGCGGTGGGAGCTGCAGCTTCACTGCAGGCTCTGCCCCTGCAGGGCTGAAGCAGGGTGAGAAATGGCTTTTGTCACCCTCCTGATCAGCCCCTTCCCTGCACCACACAGAAACCGGCAGTCACATTTTCTCATGGCTCTCCTAAATGTGGATTAGCTTTTTTTCTACAGGTCTAGAGGCAAAGGGTATTTTTATAGGAAAGAAGTAAATCTGTGTTAAGGGCATTCAGAGCAAATAGTTCAAGGCACTGCAGCTGAGTTTGGTGTATAAACCTGGTGCTCCAGGTAGAGTGTGCAGTTCATGGGGATGCAGGCAACAACCGAAGGGCAGCAGCAGCAGCAAACTAGAAGGAAACAGCTGGGTGGAAAGGGAAGGTGTGGGATGAACACTGTACACTCTCATCAGCTCCCACTCCTGTGCTCCCCCACTGCTGTCACTTAGCTTGGTTTTCTACTTGCATCCCCCAGAGCTACGAGTGCTGCAGAGAAGGAGCCATGAGGAAGAGGAGAACTCACCCATCTCTGTGGTGCTGCTGAGCAGACGCCGGGAGCTTAAGCAGTCAGTCCTGCTGCTTTCAACTCCATGCTGGCTTCCCTCCCTTTATACCTGGGCCTCTCCCTAAATACACCTCCTCCGTGTGAAGGGCTCAGCTCCTGTGTTTGCATGGACAAAGTTAATCACTGTGTGCCCATCTGGTGGCTTCTCTTTGCTCAAGATTACACAAAGAAGCCCTAAAGTTTATTTTTCCGAAAAAAAATAAAGTACTCCAAACCTCCCAGCTGTGGGGCGTTTATCGACTGCAATATACTGGACCTGCCCAGGAGTTAAATCTTTCTGGGAATCTACCAACTGCTGCAGGGCAATAAAGGAGTTAAAGGCTAGGGGAAAGGCAAACAGAAGGGAAGGACTGTGAAGAGGAAGGGTGAAGGGGGGATTTGTATAATCTGGAGATCAAAGAGGGTAATGGTCTGTCAACAGCTACCAGCTCCCAGCATGTCGTGACACTTCAATGGCCAGAGGTCTGTCTGGGCCTCCTTCCCTGCAGAGAGCTGCCAAGAAATCATCCCCAGGGCTGGGTTGCAAACACTGATGCCTTTTTTGCCCTCCATCAGTAGAGGCTGAGGGCGGAAGGCAACAGCTTTTCCTAGGGCCCATCCCTGGCTCCTGGATGCTTGCAGCAGCTCTGAGTAAAAATAGGCTGGAGGAGGTGTCTACAGTTCCCTTCCTTAGTCCTTATGTCTTGGTGAGAAGAAACAGGCTCAGGAAGGCTCTGCTGACCTCCTGCTGTTCCCCACTGCATGTGGGCAGCCTGGTCCAGGCCGGGAGCTGTCTGGGACAGCATCTTCAATACACTCATGGCCAACTCACCAAGCAGCAGCTACAGCTGTTGGGACCACACCTGTCAGGGGAGGTTGAACTTGTTTCGTGTGTTACTGCAGGGTGTTTCAGCAAACCCTCAGGACTGGGTTGGAGTCCCCTCCTTGTCCCACTCTTCTTTCAATCCCTCTTTTCACACAGTGCCTTGGGAGGTGTCAGCAGCTCCTCACCTGCTGGCTCACTCTGCCGGGCCCATGCTGCGCAGTCCTGTGCTCCTGCATGTCACCAGAGGTGGGACTTTGTCTGGCCGCAGCACACTCTGTCTTCTAGAAGGTGATGCTTCCATTGGTAGTGGGTCTGTCCTGGTTCTGCCAGGATAGGGTTAAATTTTTCCTAAGCAGGGGGAAGGGATCTCCAGCCGGGTTATTCATACCATGAGGAGGTCACGGCAGCATGGAAGCTTTTTCCTTTGTGGCTTTTGTTGCGGAAAGCACGCGCGGCGGGCTGGCTGTGTCCATTGTGGTATTTCTCTGTATATCTTTTGTCTTGTTTACTGTTATTACTGTTTATTGTTGTTGTTATTGCTATTGTTGTTGTTCAGATTGTTTATTACACCATTATATTAAATTTCTCCTTATTTTAACCCGGGGTTTGTGCCCTACTTGGTCCGAGGGTGGGGGAGGGACAACGGCAACGTGGTCTCCGGTCCCGGCAGGGCTTAAACTATCACAGGGTCCCACAAGGGGAGTGAGGGCAGGGGAGAAACAAGAGGGCAGAACCTGTCCCCACCTGCACAGCAGGCTCAGTCCCCTCCTCTGACTCTTCTCCCTCACTCTGTAATTCAGCTCCACTTGTCACCACATCTTGGCACCTCAGCTTTGGTGGTGTCACCTGGTGGGTCTGGGGAGCCAGCCCTGCTCCTGAGTGTCATGGGGGTCTGGCTGAAACACCTGGGAAGACCCTTTTCATCTTTTTGAGATTTTGCTGCCAGAAATGTATCAAAGACAGATGTTACAGCCCCAGGTTATCTATCAAGGGACTTTGGGAAGCTCTTGTAGAAAGAAAGGTGCTTCATTAGAAGGAAGCTGCTGAGGAGCAGTCTTGGGTCAGGTCTAAGTTATTCATTGCTGTCCAAGAGCACGACAGATATTATGGCAATGTAGAGTTGGCAAGAATCCTTTTTTCCGTGAATATATGTGTAATTTTGGAGCTGGTAGTTCTACAAGAGGCTAGTGTAGGGCCAGGGAAGATGTGTCCCTTGGTGAAAAACATCCTCCTTGCTGTACTGAAAGTCATTTAGTCTTGGAGTAACCCAGAGCAGGGCCTGGGCAGGGCACAGTGAGGTGCTGGCATGGTGGCAGGGTGTGCTGGTTCTGGGACCTCCACCACCACCTGCTGGTCTCCTGGAGGACAGCAGAGGTGGCAATGCCACCTGGGGAGATAGGACCTGGGGATGAAGGCAGCCAGCACCAGCCTTGTGGCAGCAGAGCCTGTGAGGGTCCCCAGCGGTGCCACAGAGCATCTCAGGGCCAGCTCAGGCCACAGTCCAGCGGCTCAGCACCTGCCGGTGTCAAACCATCAATAAATACATCACTGTGGTCCCATATTGGTGTCACTGAGCTATCAGCCAGCATTGCTGGGCTATGCCACTGCCCTTCTTACAACTCCCCTCCCATTCCTGTGCCATTTGCAAAGCTGACTTCACACTGGGCCACTCAATGTCTGTTAAGCATTTATTCCACTTAACCCACAGCCACCTCGTTAATTGAGTCTGCAACCAGCTCTGCCATGAGAGCTGTGCCCCAGCTACCCAGAGCTGTGAAGACAAAGCTAAACCCTCCAGCAGCCCCTCAGCTTCAGCACCAGCACAGGAGCCCGTAGGAGGTCTGTGGCACCTGCCCCTCACTGGCACTGGGCAGTGGCACCCCCACACATGTGGCTGCCCCGTGGGACGGGTGCACTGTTGGAGGGCTGGCACCAAGGGCTGGCACCAAGCCAAGCAGTTGCATTGCCGTGGGGGGGTCTGGGGGGGAGGG